TGTAACCGTAAATTGGGTTTGGCTAATGATTTTCATTAAGTTCAAGCTAAGGAATGTGCGATAACAATCTGAAATACCGAGCGAACTCAGTTTGGCTCGATATGAGCAGCTTCTGCCTTGACTCTGGCCTTGAGACGGGTTCGCATCGAATGCTGCCCGAGGGTGGGAAGGGGAAACTTTGCCGGCTCATTCCCTCAGCATCGCGAGGCAGTTCTTGTCCAGAGTAGAGAATCCTTTGTTTTCGCTCCTGCCGAATGCGAGAGCTATTCTATGCTCCAAGTGAAGTTCTCAGCTTTGTTTTGCGACTCTGGTGTGTGATTCGGTGTCGAGGCAGCCACGTCCGACCGAAATGTTTGCCTGCCCGTGGCTGCTAAGCAGCCTCCTCCGCACACTCCCCTTGCCGGCAGACGCAATGTAAACGATTGGAAAGCATCGACTCTGGCCCAGAGCAATCGCTGCTACCGGATGACGTTGTCTCAGGTAAACCCCATCGTTTGAAGGGCTCTTAAATTCTTAAATTGCACAGTTCGGTCCATCAATAGCGAAGCAGCTCCAGTTGCTGCTGATGCGGCATAAGATGCCGCTGGCAAAACTTGCACTTGAGGTAATTTTTCAGTGTGCATGGCATGCTATGATACGGATATTTTGAGTGCTTAAGCCATACACACTGTGATTGAGGCTAAATACAGGGCTTTGGAATTCCATTGGTTGCAGCTTGCTTGAGGTTGCTTGAAGTATGCCTAAACCCGGTTGACTTAGAGGGTAAACAGAGGGGATAGCATAATAGATAACTATCGATATATAGTTTTATTGATACTAAAGTAGAATGTAATCGATACTGAATGAGACTGCCAGCACTAGGAGAAGAAGGAAATTCATTTGAAGGAACAAAGCAATAAATACGTTTAGATCATTTAAAGTACGATACGATAAATGCGAAGTAAGGTATTTCACAATATAAGTAGGCAACATGAGCAAATTAGGCCAGCTCCTTCAGTCAGACATGACGTCAGTCAGACCTAAGCAAAGCAGCCCAAATGCTTCTTGTGGACTCTCCCAACACACCAATTTCGTAGCATAGCGGTATTTAGCTTGTATATACATATGTTTATATGTATTCATAGTATGCACATATCTGCATATTATGAATAACCTTATCAACGCTGTGTGCGCTTTAATGTTTTGCTGTGAGTGGGCAGCTTCACCTGTAATTTGCCTGTCAATTATTCGCCAGAGCTCGGATTTGCTTAATTCTGTTTGACATTTGAGCGATAATTGCACTCGAAATGCTCACAGTCAATTGTAAATGCATTAAAATGCGCCCTCAATGCGAATCAGTTGCCATTTTTAGCTTGACTTGATTTAATGCATTCTCCCGCTCGGTTGTCAAGGGCGTTCAATTAAATGAGTTAATTTTGGTCTGCTCATTACACGAGATTCATTTATATTTCAAGAATAATTTGCATTGAGGCGTCGCCTAGTTACAGTCGATGGCTCGCAGCGAGCACAGAGGACAATCGGAGTAGCCGATTGAATTGATTTATCTCTGTGACATTTGCAATTCCTTTGCCATAAACGGAATGCTGCAGCATCCTTTGTGTGCTGCACAGGATATTCTCATTTGAATAGCCGAGATGCCGTATCAAGTCTAGAATTATAATAAGTAGCTGTAGCCTGTATGCATAAATAAATGTACAAGCTCAATAGAGAAAGAGAGAGAGAGAAAGACTTCTTTGTGTAAGTAGAATGAGAAATGGAAGGAGACACAGAGACATACTATGTTGAATATGTGTAGTTGAAGGGGGATGGGAGAGTGAGAGAAGAAGAAAAAGGTAGAATAGTGACAGAGACATGGAACAGCAGGTAGAGAGAAAGAGAGTGCAAGCGAAAGAATGTGAGAGGGAGGGATAGAGACTGATGAAGAGAAGGGGAAGCAGAGAAAAGGCGAGATTGAGATAGAGAGAAGGAAGAAGTGAGAGAAATTTAGAAATTTAGAGACAGAGAGAGAGAGAGAGAGAGAGAGAGAGAGAGAGAAAGAAAGAGGAAAAGAAAGATACGGAATGGAAATTGATTGAAAGTACAGAGCAAAAGAGCATAAAGAAAGATAAGGAGAGATAGAAAGCGAGAGGCAGATGGAGACAGAAATGGAGAAGGAATAAGAGAAAAAGGTAGAGAAGTAGAGACAGAAACAATAAATAGAGAGTAAGAGATAGACAGAGGGAGAGAGAGAGAGAGAGAAAGAGAAAAAAAAGAGAGGACGAGATAATAAGAGTAAGAAAACGAAAAGAGAGCGAGAGAGAAAATAAGATCCAGAGAGCAAAACAATTGGATATGAAAACAGAATGAAAGAGATAGAGAGAGAGAGAGAGAAAGGCTATATCCTTTGCAACTTCTCGAATGTGTTCTATATATTCTATAGGGCCTATATTGTACATATTTGCAATATATATCCTTTCAAATGTAAGTTCTTGAACTCTAAGTTAACCAGTGTTGATTAACTCTGATAGATTTTCCCATTTTCCCCAATTTAATGTACTGAGTATTTGCTAGTGTATCATATTTGCAAGCAATATTTATACAGTGGACTTTTAATGCTTTATTGGTTTAGCTATGTCGCAGTGTGGGTGTGTGTGTGTGTGTATGTGTGTGTGTGTGTGTGTAAATGTGTAAGTGTATGTTTGTCCTGCTGGATAACAGCAAAACTAAAAGTAGAAAGCGCAAACAATAAACAAACAAACAAGCTGCAAAAATGTCACACATTCATCATACGCTGTAATATGTTACAAGCGGACAAGAACAGCCCCAGCCCCCAGCCAAGCCTCACACACACGCACACACACACACACACATACTAGCACGCATAGAGAAAAGAAGTTTTTCTTTGCCTCTCGCTCAGTTCACAGCTAACCGCAAACAAGAAGAAACAGATACGAGCTCAAGTTCTCTGCGTGTGTGTGTGTGTGTGTATGTGTGTGTAGCCATGTGAAGTTGCTACACTAGGTAAGGTTAGGTGGGGGGGGAGGGGAGTGGGGGATGTGGTGTGTGCTGACATCTAGATGTGGGTGTGCCTGGGCCTCAGTTGGAAAACTATGCAAAAAGGCACAAAAAGGTCAGTAAATTAATGTGCAAAAACGGACGCGATATAAACTTTGCATATACACATGTGTGTGTGTGTGTGTGACATGGGTGGGTGTATGTCCCGTGCGGGTATTGCACATTTGTAGCCTTTGCTATTTGCTCCAAGCAAACGGCGTCTGTGCTTTGTTAGCAGTCAAAGCTCAAACATAACACACAGAAAACACACACACACACACACACACGCACACACACACCACTAGTAGATTAATAAACGAGTTTTCATTTAGCCAAGCAACAACAACAACAACAATTTGCCTCCATGTTTCTGACTCTTGTCAAAGGCTTCTCAGCAGCTTTTTCCCACATTTAATTTTCAATTTTCCATTTATGCTCTGCCACAACACACAAACACACACGCACACTCACACTCGCACACACACACACACACATACTAAGCCACACACGTAGAATATGGCAGCATATGCCGTGCCCCCCCTCATAAATTGCCTGCAAAACTGAAACAGCCGAAAAACATCTCCCATCTACCTTCCCCACTCTCCCCTCTCCCTCTCTACTCACCCATGCGCTTAGCCCTGTGCCCCCGTTCACCCTATTAAATTAGATGAAAAATTTCAACTAATAAATCAATATTTAAATAATTCATACAATTTGTGGGCGCCCCGGCTGGGGAGACTTTCGCAAATTCCGAGCGTTGAATCATGATCGATTGGCTGTATTCTTTTTTCTACTCCTAACTACATTTTTGGGGGTTGCTAATGCTATCACGATAATAAGTTGAGGCGTTGCTACATGCTAGCTCCTGGGTTTGTCTCTCTTCTCTCTCTCTCTCTCTCTCTCTTCTTCTACTTCGCCTTCATTGGGCGCACACATGTGATTATGATGTGCGGCAAAGGACGGATGATAGTCGAGCAAGGGGCTAGCTGAATTCAGTGTAGGTCAGCTCCGGGTGCTATTAGAGCTCATTCGTTAGTTAGCTAAAAGTTGTTGGATTAAATTAGACTATTATCATCACAATTACTAACAATATCATTACCATCATTTTGAATTTTATTATTATTATTGGGGGAACTGTGCTAGCCGCTGACGAACTGAGAAATATCTCTATGTATAATGGATCAAGGGGCATATTACATGAAGAGTATACCCATTCCTAATACCATCCATATAGTGAATGGTTTCCCTGCTCAGTGCAGATCTTCACCAAGCTGCATCTGCCCCATAGCAGCTTTTTCCCTTAGAGGCAAAGAGAGAGAGAGAGGCGTTGATTCTGAAGCTGGAACTAGACATCCGATGCCTCCACTTAGAATGCATGGGACATATTTGAAGGAAGTGTTATACTCGGAAGCCAGAAAAAAAGAGCGACTTTTCCTTACTAACAACATGTTGACCTCTTTATGTTATAAACAGGGCTGGGAATCCGCTGGAAATACCAATGTAATCCAGACTGCTTGTTGCAGCACGGAATGCTGGTCGACTTGGTCCCAGACAGCACGATTTTCGAGCTGAAAAACCTGGTGACCCTCAGTGCATTATAAATAGCTCATAGCTCTTCTATCGCAATCATGTTTCATCCTAATCTACTCATATTTCGAACAACAAATTGATTTATTTAATTGATTGATGAAAACCAATTTACATCACACTCCAATTAATTTATAGACATTTTATATCCGCTTTATGCTCACCTACTTTCTGTATACATTTTGTATACAATGGACACGTCAGCACTAAAAAATATAAAATAAGGAAAAACTCAACAATTTCATTTTTAATCTAGTTACCTTTGCAAAGCAACAATTGCAATTCCATGAATCAGGTTAGCTTAGCAAAGGAATAAAATACATTTTTGGATCTAGTTACCTTTGCAAGCGATTCTGAGGCTAGGAGCCTCTGCTCGGCTCACATTTATTTCAGTTTATCCCCAGAGCTCCTCTGGAAAACAACTAAATTTTTCGGCTCTAAATTTAAAAGTGAAAAAAAATAAATAAATAAAATAAAAATATATATTTTCTCTCGAACAAATTTTTTTCAAAAAAAATTCATTTTTCGGCAACATTTCGGTTTATCAAAATTTGTGTATTTCGGCAAAATAAAATCAAAATTGAAAAGCGTGAAATATGTTGTAAATTGTGACTCAACAAAAAAAGAAAAAACATTGAGTTTGCTTGATTGATATTTGTGTTTAATTGTGCAAAAGGGGACGAAAAAATTTTATCACTGGACTTACCGAGGTTCTGCAAATGTGTTAGTATGCCAGGCTAGTCGTATGGGGGACTCATGTACCCTAGCGGACAACACATGCCAATAGCTGAGCGCTGTTGCCTCACAACTGAGAGAGGAGCAGATTATTTAAATCAGATTCGCCTATAACAATACACATCTACCTGCCCTTGTTAGTAGTTCAAGTAAGTATAATCGGTGTGGCGGGGGGAACAAATACCTTAAGTTAAGTGTAAAAAGAGAAGTGGAAAGAAGTGTAAAAGAAAGTGAGAAAGGCTTTGCATATATAGGGAATATGCAATGATAGACGATGAAGCGAGCTGAGTGGGTGAATAGAGGTTATGATAATGAAGAGAGATGAATGAAAAGGAAGAGAATTCTATTGAATGGGATAAAAATGATTAAAGGCAATCCATTTCAACTATATATGGTAGGGATCTGAAATAATCCAATAATAAGAAAATTAGAAATACAAGTTTTGGAACTATGGGGAATAAGTAATGATGAAGCGAGGTGGGTGGGAATAGAGGTTGAGGTTAAGCAGAGAAGAGTGAGACGGAAGAGAGTGTTATTGAAAGGGGGTAACTGAAAATAATTGAAAATAATTGAAAATAAATAAAGGTGTGAAATAAAGCGTAGAATCTAGTTGAGCAAGAATGAAAAGAGAAATAAGAACAAGAAAAGTATATATAAAGTATATATTTTATAGGGAATAAATAATGATAATAAAGATGATGATCAGTGAAGCACGGGTTGAGTAAGAATAAATGGTTAAAGTTGTGTAATAATAGATATAGATGAATGAGATTAGTGGGGAGTGAGAGAATGAGAGAGAGAGAAGGGAATGCTGTCGAAAGGGTTGACTGAAAATGCAAGAGCAACAATTGATTAAACACCATCCTCCTCAACAGCATCAACATTACTGTGTTTGGTTTGCCTGTTTGAAACACTAAATATATATATCCTAAGCGAAGATACTTGGTAAGTCTGTAAACCCGATCAAGTCAAATAATATATAAATATAAATAAAAATATTTGTTTTTGTTCAGAAGGAGACTGTATGCTGAAAGAAGTTTCATTTTACCATAATAAAAACTCCATATAACGTGAGTATATTGTCCAAAGGAGATCAATTCAAATATAACATTTTAATATGTGATTCCCCCAGCTTGACGGTACCACGTCCTCGAATTGGGGTCGCGTAGTTTGCGTCGGTTGTAAATGAACATGCTGCATATTAATGTATTTACTACTTGATACCAAATAACTGCCTGATACATATAAATAATATAAAAATCAACATGGATAAATACTGTCATCATTATCTAGAAATATTATTATTTATATGTATATAAATCAAATAATCTGGAACTGCTTAAAGAAGGAAGCTGCCTGCTAAATCTATAAAAATACTTGTACGCCCATTACACTCGAACGTTGTCTGCCTGCATTACGTTCCGGTAAGTCAACTCTTTGTATAAAGACCTATATAGAACAAGATTCAAGATTGTCTTCCACAGATCTGAGCGGTACCACGATACTATCACCACCTTAAGAGAAGTCATAATTGCCTTGCCTGACTTCATCGTGCAGCTCGCGCTCAGTTCGACACATTGGACATTGATGTACTAAGTGCTACTTAAATAAATACCTATAGAAAATGAGAAAAAAAAACCTGCATATTTTCGTTTTCAATTCAAAATCTCATTAGCATCAACAGCGAACACCGAACAGCACATGTGGATTAACGTGTAATGTTTCGATAATGTCACATCGCATCAAGCCAATCGAAGTTTTCCATTTAATTAGCTTAATATTATTTAAGGCTTATATGCAATTGCGATGCTGGTCCATTAAGTGTGGAAAGGAGTATTTTGGTTTCTCCCAATATAGAAGTTTGGATGTGCTCAGCTTAAATACATCCTTAAGCAAAACCAGTAAAACTAGCTGTTCACAATCTTAATTTTAGAAATAAGCCTATTTGTCTCATAGATGCGTCCATAGAAAAACTCCCCTAGATAGATCTATAAGTAGATCCATAGTTTGATACTAGATAGATTTATAGATGGATCCATAGATAAATTCCAAAGAGAGATCCACAGATCCATAAATAGATCAGTAGAATGCATAGATAGATCGACAGATAGATCCATAGATTCATAGTTAAATTCATAGATAAATTCATAGATTCATAGATGGATCTCATGAGATATCCTTAGACACATCCATAAATCTCAGACATATCCATAGATTCATAGATAGATCCATAAATAGATCCCAAAAATTCCATAGTGATTCCTCCTCATCCTCTTGGTGGTGTAGCAAATCGGCTCAAAATATCTTCAACATTATTATATATACATAGATATAAATGTTTATAATTTGTGTTGACATAAAACCTTTAAAAAAATGTACAAAATTTAGCACTTTGACAGAGCATTGCGATTACGGCTATACCTCACCTCAAGTTTCTGAGTTGTTGAAAACTAATTCAATTAATTGATGTGAAAAAAAACGAAAAAAAGTTTGCTTGATGAGAATTATAGCAAATTGGTTTATGGCACACGCGCACAGAAAGCTTTTCACCACCGAAAGCTTTTGAAGCTCAGCTTAGCGAAAGACCAGAACGAGTCGGAGCTAAAGCAGAAGCTTGCAAAAGCTTAATTGTGGAACGGGAAAGAAGATACAAACTTTAGCTAATTTCTACACTATACAAAAGCTTAAGCAAATCTTGTAAAGCTTTGAATACTGAAATGGAGTTACATTACACAAGTGTGAGTCGAATCTAAGCAAATTATCTATTAATTAACGAATGACAAACGGAACTACTTTCAAGCGGAACTGGAGCTTTGGCTAATCCATGACAACAACAGGAGGCACTGTGGACCAAGATTATGCTTTTACTAAGAGTGCAGAGCTATGCTAGAGCACATCGAACTGGAGAGATACGCGCACGGGGTTTATCTATGGCCAACTGGTTGGCGTACATTGGCCTCGTTGGTCGGCAATCTTGGCCCAGTCATTCGGAGAATGTGGAGTAGAGAATCGCATTGATGCGAGCTGCGCATATCGACACGTCGTAATGCAGATAAGTCGAAACCTAACCTTACGGATCAGAGTATAAAACTGAATGAGGCTGCAGCTGACTGTGCAGTAAGAACTGAAATGATGAAACGGCTCCGGTGTGACTTTTGGAGTGCAGTGTTAGGAGCTCAACTCCTAAATCTACTAACTGTGGCGGCCACCACACTTGGAGCAGGAGCAGCATTGCCGGCTCCAATCGACTGGCGCTACAACGATGCTCAGTATGGAAATGCCGAGTACGACAAAATGTTGGGAGAGGGTAACGAACAGCAGCCGGGTAACTTTCACTTTCAGTACGTGGACTACCAGCCCAAGTGCGGCTCGGGCGGACAGCCGGTGTGCGCGACCAATGGCAGCATGTACTTCTACTTTGAAAACGACTGCAAGCTGGAGGCGGCCAATATGAAGCTGCTCTTTCAGTACGGCATAGGTAAGTGATCGAAACAGACGAAACAGAGCCACCATATGAATCGATGTCTTCACGCAGAGCTGGAGCCCATCGAACTGGAGCGCTGTTTGCCCCAGTGCGACACTGCACGCTGTACGACAGTGTATGCCCCCGTCTGTGCGGCAGCCAACAACGAGCAGCCTGTGACCTTTGCAAACGAGTGCGAGGCGCACCGACGCGGCTGCCTGACCAAGCAAGGTGAATAGCACAGACATGGAAGACTGAAGAAAACCCTTTTTCAACTGTCATATCTCATTCTAGTCATGCATATTCTGAACAAGGGGCCCTGTCGCCAGGGCAGAACCAAATCGAAGTCCTCAGGCAAGAGCAGGCGCAAGCACGGCAAGCGCCGCCACAAGATCAACAACAGCTCAACAACAGCAGCGACACCGAATCGGGGCAAGCAGACCTACTATATGTTGGCAAATAAATCGAGCAGCTCGACCCCAACAAGCAGCACCACCAGCACCACTACAACCACAACGCCGGTGCCCATGCAGTTCCACCACTTCAGGGACAATGCCGGTGTTTCCGTCTCACATGCCATCGATCCCTACAGCGTCTACAATATACCCGATGTGGGCCATAATTATGGCGCCATAACCGACTCGAGTCTGTCGCTTTATGTGCCTGGTGTGGGCACTGTGACGGATACGCCGCCTAGCACCACTACCACTACCACCACAACAACAACGACACCCAAACCAACAACTACAACCACTCAGCGAGAGGAAATCCAATTCTTGTATATGCCCTACGGCACCACCTCCAGCACCACCTCCAGCACGACCTCCAGCACCACCACCAGCACCACCGCTGCTACTTTTATAGACAGCATTACGGGCACCACTCTACCCACAGCATCCACCAGCCCCACTGAGGCAATCGTGGCAGTGTCTCACAATGCAACAGAATTCCAGTCTCATACCTCTAGCACTACCCCAAAGCCTGCGCCTGTAAAGCCTCATCCTAAACCAGATGTTGTCAAAGAGTGATCCACAGTGTTAATAAACGACCATAGAAATCTCGAATCGCCTCTAGACTATTTCATTATTACAGAATGGGAGCTACAAAAGCATTAGGTATAGATCTATAACTCAGCAGACCTACAGATCTTTTACATCCTGAGCCCATGAAAAAGTCGAGCTCACTGTATAAGGCTTGTGTAACAAGCCGTAAACATCATCATAGATCCCATCATTATCGTTGGTATAATTGTAAAAAAAAAGATTTTTATTAAAGTTTTCGTTATTTTAAGATTCTTTCTTAATATCTAAAATAGTCAAGCTTTTAGTCTTATGAATCGTTTGGGTTTCGTAAATTACTTTGGCATCGTAGAAAATCTCATAGTTTGCAGTCAATTCAGTTCTTTTGTATATCAACCTTTTGCGCTGAACTCTTGGAGAGGAACAAAAATATGTATGTTGGGCTTGGATTCGTATTTGTGTTATTGATCTTAATCGTTTGAACGTCATCCTTCTCGGACACTTGCACAATCACTTGGTTAACAGTCGCATTGTTTGCTGTAGCTTCGTCAACATTTCGTACTTGCTTGTCATCAACGTTTGCAATCGTTAAGTCTTCTGAAGCAGTTGTTGAATCCAGAGTTGCATCGTTGGCATCTTCGGAACCTTGTGGGGAGGTATCTACTGGTTCCTGATCCACAGCTGCAGCTTTGCTTAAGCTTTGAACTTGTGGTTCAGATGTAGAGTCCGACGTAGTGTCCGATGAGGAGTCCGATGTCGAGCTTTCAGAAGCTTCACTAGTTGTTTCGTGAGAGTATGGGTCAGATGCATTTTTGTCTTCAGCCGCATAAGTCTGATATGTTGTGGAATCAGTTTCTTGTGGGGAACTATCTACTGGTTCCTGATCAACAGCTGCTGCTCTACTTAAGCTTTGGACTTGTGGTTCTGATATAGAGTCCGACGTAGTGTCCGATAAGGAGTCCGATGTCGAGCTTTCAGAAGCTTCACTAGTTGTTTCCTGAGATGCATTTTTATCTTCAGCCGCATAAGTCTGATATGTTGTGGAATCAGTTTCTTGTGGGGAACTATCTACTGGTTCCTGATCAATAGCTGCAGCTCTACTTAAGCTTTGGACTTGTGGTTCTGATGTAGAGTCCGACGTAGTGTCCGATAAGGAGTCCGAAGTCGAGCTTTCAGAAGCTTCACTAGTTGTTTCCTGAGAGTATGGGTCAGATGCATTTTTGTCTTCAGCCGCATAAGTCTGATATGTTGTGGAATCAGTTTCTTGTGGGGAACTATCTACTGGTTCCTGATCAACAGCTGCTGCTCTACTTAAGCTTAGGACTTGTGGCTCTGATGTAGAGTCCGATGAAGCGTCCGGTGTTGAGGTGTCAGTCGATTCACTAGGCGTTTCCTGAGAGTATGGGTCAGATGCATTTTTGTCTTCAGCCGCATAAGTCTGATATGTTGTGGAATCAGTTTCTTGTGGGGAACTATCTACTGGTTCCTGATCAACAGCTGCTGCTCTACTTAAGCTTTGGACTTGTGGCTCTGATGTAGAGTCCGATGAAGCGTCCGGTGTTGAGGTGTCAGTCGATTCACTAGGCGTTTCCTGAGAGTATGGGTCAGATGCATTTTTGTCTTCAGCCGCATAAGTCTGATATGTTGTGGAATCAGTTTCTTGTGGGGAACTATCTACTGGTTCCTGATCAACAGCTGCTGCTCTACTTAAGCTTTGGACTTGTGGCTCTGATGTAGAGTCCGACGTAGTGTCCGATAAGGAGTCCGATGTTGAGCTTTCAGAAGCTTCACTAGTTGTTTCCTGAGAGTATGGGTCAGATGCATTTTTGTCTTCAGCCGCATAGGTCGGATATGTTGTGGAATCTGTTTCTTGTGGGGAGCTATCTACTGGTTCCTGATCAATAGCTGCTGCTCTACTTAAGCTTTCGACTTGTGGCTCTGATGTAGAGTCCGATGAAGCGTCCGGTGTTGAGGTGTCAGTCGATTCACTAGTCGTTTCCTGAGAGTATGGGTCAGATGCATTTTTGTCTTCAACACCATAGGTCTGATATGCTGTTGTGGAATCAGTTTCTTGAGGGGAGCTATCTACTGGTTCCTGATCCACTGCTGCAGCTCTGCTTAAGCTTTGGACTTGTGGCTCTGAAGAAGAATCTGATGTCGAACTCTCAGTCGATTCAGTGGTTGTTTCCTGAGAGTATGGATCAGATGCCTTTTTATCTTCAGCCCCATTGGTCGGATATGTTGTGGAATCTGTTTCTTGTGGGGAGCTATCTACTGGTTCCTGATCAATAGCTGCTGCTCTACTTAAGCTTTGGACTTGTGGCTCTGATGTAGAGTCCGATGAAGCGTCCGGTGTTGAGGTGTCAGTCGATTCACTAGTCGTTTCCTGAGAGTATGGGTCAGATGCATTTTTGTCTTCAACTCCATAGGTCTGATATGCTGTTGTGGAATCAGTTCCTTGAGGGGAGCTATCTACTGGTTCCTGATCCACTGCTGCAGCTCTGCTTAAGCTTTGGACTTGTGGCTCTGAAGAAGAATCTGATGTCGAACTCTCAGTCGATTCAGTGGTTGTTTCCTGAGAGTATGGATCAGATGCCTTTTTATCTTCAGCCCCATAGATCTGATATGTTGTGGAATTTGTTTCTTGAGGGGAGCTTTCTACTGGTTCCTGATCCACAGCTGCAGCTCTACTTAAGCTTTGGACTTGTGGCTCTGATGTAGAGTCCGACGTAGAGTCCGATGTCGAGCTCTCAGTCGATTCACTAGTTGTTTCCTGAGAGTATGGGTCAGATGCCTTTTTATCTTCAGCCCCATAGGTCGGATATGTTGTGGAATCTGTTTCTTGTGGGGAGCTATCTACTGGTTCCTGATCAACAGCTGCAGCTCTGCTTAAGCTTTGGACTTGTGGCTGTGATGTAGAGTCCGACGTAGAGTCCGATGACGAGCTTTCAGAAGATTCAGTAGTTGTTTCCTGAGAGTATGGGTCAGATGCCTTTATGTCTGCAGCTCCATCTGAACTTACGGCTGCTTCAGTTGGCGAATTGTACTCAGAAGCAGCAGAAGTAGTTGTATTCTCTGGGATAGAATCATCATTGATATCATTTCTTAAGCTCTGGACTAAAGCCTGTCTCTCCTCATTCATCGTACTAGGATCGGACGTTGCATCGGAAGAGAGGCTTGCATCTGTTACATTCGTGGATGGTTCAGTTGAGGATTCAACCGCCGATTGAGCTGTCGTTGTCCCGAATGCTTCGCTTGACTCTGTGGGCAGAGCATCTCTCGAGATGTATACGTGGTAAGGTTGCAGCTGAGCCGCTGCCCGTTGCTGGCTATAGGGATTTGGGTAAGCCACTGGCAATGGGGGTCCATAGGCTGGTTGGTGATAGGCATAGGGTCCGTAAGCGGGATATCCATAGGCAGGTGGGCCATATGCCTGTTGGGGTGCATAAAGCGGATAGGATGGATTCGCTCTCATTAAAGGTCCTTGTGGTGAATATATGGCCTCTTCGCCAGCGCATGGCCCTTCGTGCAGGTATCTCCAAGCTTAAGAGAATAGGGAAGAGAGTTAGAGATAGGTTAAGGGGACTGATTGCAATTGATACTCACGTTCGCTCGTATGGCATATTAATTGCTGCATTTCGCATTGGTTTTGAAATGACTTCTGCGTATTCTCAAGCGTGGCACAGATCGGACTGCACGTAAGTGGACACTTGAGGGGGCACTCGCAGGGACCGTCGTACAGTATGCGCCAATCTAAAGAGATAACAAATATTATAGTCGACGAATCGTACATTATTCCTTGTGGCACGCACAATTTCCCGTTAGGCAGCTATAGCGCTGGGCCTCGCAGGCATTATCGAAGGTCGCTCGCTGATGTCCGCCTTCGATCTTAGCGCAGACCTCCTCCTTGACATCCGAGCACTGCAGATGGTCGCACCGTGAACCGTAATAGTCGGGCCCGCCATAGCCCCAGCTCCAGGCGCCTGTGAATAGCGTCAATCCAAACAAATAGAACGCGTGCATTTTGTGGACAATCCTCAGTCCGACTATGGCTTAGCCTCGAACAGGCTGCACTTTTTATATGACGACGGCAACCTGTCGTGGACTTGTGCCACATGCCCTCATATCATAGCAATGTCTACGTGTCTGGAGCTCTGTTTCTGTAATTAATTATATCAACGCTTCTAGCTGAAAGCCAGACGTTAAGTTTTTTAAGTTTTTTGTGTTACTTTTTATTACATACTTTTTATTTTGTTATTGTTAGCTTATGAAATAAGACGAGCTGTACTTATATCAGTGCTATTCGTGTTAAACGTAAACTTTGCGCCATGGGAAATTTTGTGAATTAATTTGTTTTTGCTTTTGTCCAGAGAACATTTTGCAAATTACGAATACGATTATGATTAACTAAGCAAGCACGCAGCGCATGACGATACCAAAGACTATTTCTCAAGGTCAACAGATAGCCAAAAAGTGTGCACACTCATTCAATATTGTTTATGATGATCCAATGAAAATTCAGTTTAATAATAACATTTGAATACCGATCAAATGAAATGGTAAAGGTATTCAATTTACTTGATACGATCTTGTATATCGTATTTGAAAATGCCAAGTTCTTGTGAAGTAACTGTACCTACCTTACGCAGCTCATGCTTTATTCTATAAGAAACGAGTACGATCTAAAAGATATACATCCAGCTAAAAATAATTATACTGGATTATCAAATGTCAAAGATTGCTTAGATAGCAAAATGAGCTAAGTTTAAGTATGGGAATGCACAAGGGAATTATGTATATGCCCTTCTAATATCAAGATTCAAACAGCTTGCTTGCAGGAATATTAAGGTGCTTGGGGAATGAATACACTTTTTTTAATATCAATTGTATCACTCAACACATTTTCAACACAAGCTGGAGGGCAAAAATATGTTGGACAAATTTTGATGATAAAACACTTTTCGTATCAAGTGTCCAACAAATTTGCTTCGCTATCAAAAATTTTGACATGTAATGAATACAATACATAGCAAAACTTTATACCATTGAGGTAGGTCTTTACTCAATGGGTAAGTAAAATGCTTTAGTTATCATATCTGATGATTCTAAGCAAAAAATAAAATTTATCTACACTATGATTATAATGGAATCCAATCATATAAGACCTTCAAAACATCCACGAATACCTCTGACAACAGATAAATAGCGTCTAAAATGTAAAATGTCTTGATATATGTATGTATATACATATTACATATAAAAAGAAATTCTTATTATTTATGATAGGATATTTGAGAGGAGGAAACTGTGTGTGATACTTTAAGCTTTAAAGTTTAATGATTCAACACCAGCTGTAGGCCCCTAAGACCTGAAGGAAAAGTAATCATATAGAGAATGCAATCACAAAAACCTTTGAAATATCCACAAATTTGGAATACCTTTGGTATCAAGTGTCATGTTTCAAATACTCATGTACATATATATGTAGCTCTATAGCTATGCACGGTATGCAATTATGCAAGTCGTATAGCTTATGGCAATATCGTTGAGGTAGGTCTCTAAGTATGCTCAATGACATATCTCACGTATCAAGTGTCAAAGAAGTTGCTTAGGTATCAAAAATATATTTATTTATTTATTTATATATATGTAGTATATGCATGGTGTACAAATAGTAAGTCTTATTGATTATAATGGGGTCGAGTACCATTGAGGTGGGTCATAGATATTGATATTAGTCATAATATGGGACATTTGCTGAAGCGGAGGCGCTGGCATGAACTTTAAGCCTAGTATTACCATGGCGGGGTCCAGGGCCCGCTCTATATTGAGGTACAGGACCGGATCCGTAGGGGGCCTCATAAGCAGAGCCATAAGTAATGCTATATAGGTAGCCAACGGGTCTATAGTCAATCAATCTGCTTGGACTGTAGTATGGCTTAGGCGTTGGTCTGCTAGTGGTTGTGGTGCTATAGTTCGTTCCATTTCGTGTCGAGTTGTTGTAGAGACATCCAGTGAACTTCAGCGGCTCCGATAGGCCCCTATATCGCAGCTCTAACTGCGTCTCCTCGGCGCATGTCTTATTGCCCGTTGTTGGGTTGGTTATCTGCGAGGCCATAGAGAGTCTAAAGACCCGGCCATTGGGCATTGTGAAGACCAGAGAAACCAGAGTGTTCTACTCGAAAGAAAATATATAGAGTAGAGATTATCGAGTGTTAAATTTTATACCTGACACACGTGGTATTACGTGTAGAAGTTGCTGTAATATTGCACTAGCTACTACTTACGTCATCCAAGTCGATGCTGGCGGTTGTGGGTGCTGCGGTAGATGCTGTTGTAGCCGGAGGGGTGCTCGACTGTAATATTGAATTTATTGTGGACGTTATTGTGGATGCTATTGTGGATACTACTGTAGTATTTACTGTGGACACTGCTGTAACTGACGAGCTGGACGGCGATGTGGTTTGTGGGCTCGTTGCTGTTGTTGTAGTTGTTGATTGCGTCGTGCTTGAAATAGTTGGCGAATGCGTTGTGGATAGTGTTGAGGACTGTGCAACATCTGCTGCAGATCCTAATAAGTCTACAGTTACTGTAGTTGGTGGCGTGGATGTTATTGTGGTGGATGGTGTTGTCGATGCTGTTGTTGTGGGTACTGTTGTTGTGGATGGCGTTGTTGTGGAAGGTGTTGTTGTGGAAGGTATTGTTGTGGAAGGTATTGTTGTGGAAGCAGTTGTAGAAACTGTTGTTGTGGAAGCTGTTGTTGTAGATTCTGGCGTAGTGGATGTTGTAGAAGTTGTTGTTGTGGTTGTTGTAGATGGTGTTGTTGTAGAAGCTGTTGTTGTAGAAGCTATTGCTGTGGATGTTGTAGATGGAGTTGTTGTAGAAGCTATTGCTGTGGTTGTTGTAGATTGTGTTGTTGTAGAAGCTGTTGTTGTGGATGTTGTAGATGGTGTTGTTGTAGAAGCTGTGGTTGTAGATGTTGTAGATGGTGTTGTTGTAGAAGCTGTTGTTGTGGATGTTGTAGATGGTGTTGTTGTAGAAGCTGTTGTTGTGGATGCTGCTAATGTGGATAATGCGGCTGTGGATGCTGTTGTTGTAGGTATTGGTGTAGTGGATACTGTTGTTGTGGATGCAGTTATTGGTGATGCTGTTGTTGAGCATTTCGCTTTAGGTTTCCTGTATGAAGTCGATGGCTTCGGCTGACGTTGAGTCAAATATTCACGCATATTCCTATAATAAAAGCCGTTGGTCGGCGAATATGTGTCCTGTGCCTTGTAGTAGAGATAGGGATCATATGATCTGGAGTAGCTTGGCTCTGGATCGACGGATTCATATAAATAGGGTGTTTCGTAGGCACCTGCATAGCCTTTGTTGGCATTCACATAAGGGCTAGCCAGCAATCGTGGATCGTAGGGTGTGTTGTAGTCGAGCCACCTTGGCTCTGGCAAGCAATGCCGTATGTCAGCCTGCACAAGTGCTAAAGAATATTTGAGATTAAAGATCGGGGAGCTTTTAGTTCACTACCAGCAGGAAACTTACCCCGTTGGCCAGCGAACAGCAAACGCACATTGTAAGCGTTCAGGTAGCAAATGTTGTGGAACAAACGATAGCAGTAGCCGTCGGTGGCGCACACAGATCGGCCGCAGGCAGCATAGTCGACACGTCCGTTTAGTGCTGGCTGCTCGTGGTGCACCTGATCCACACAGCGCTGGGCAGTGACCAAGCTGAGCGAGCAGAGTGCCAATGCAATGGAGACGAGCTGTGACCACATGCTGAAGGTCTATGGGCCAATAATATGCTTTGTTCGCCCTGCACTCGCTTTTTTATACCTGAGAGAGAAACCTAAGATGCATAGCTGCTGCTGCCGCCTCGCATCTATCTCCACCTCTCTCTCTCTCTGTCTCTGTCTGTCTTTGTCTTTCTCTCTCTATGTTCGCTGCAGCCGTAGCAGACGTCGGCATACGTCGGTGTCTTATCATCTCGCTGCTTACGTGCCTGACCTGCACTCAACACAACAAAAGGCTGGCGCCAGACACAACATTCTTGTACCTTTGCACCATTCTTTGTAACCTCCGGCTGGTGGTTAACTAAATTAATTAAGCTATCAATGTCAACTAATTAACTTTAAATTGAGTTGCAGTGCAATGTATTTGTGCGGATGCACTTCAATTTGAATAACTGCTTGCCATGCTTGACCTGCTTGACGCCATGACAGCACCGCAAGCAGTTCGCCAAGCAGTGCGCAGCATCTCCCATCTGCTGACGTCCACAACGAGCGCTGCTTATAACATATCTTAACATATGCAAAGAGTATGACAGTTTTATAACTCTAATTTTTTTAATGATTTAAAAATGTGTGCTTTGCGGTATTCATAAATTTTCCCTCATTTTTAAAGAGAGCTTTTCAATTATAATAAAATTTTATCTTTAAGCTGCACCTTGAGATATTCATTTATGCCAAGCTTCATTCGCTATTCCATTTTGATATTTTTATAAAAATTATATCATCTTGTTGATAAAAATAGTGCATATTTTTTACTCCTTTTTATTGGGTCATTTCCTGCCTGCGTAATTACATTGAAATAGTTATTTGAAACTTTATTGCCCTTAATTAACAACTATAAAGAGCAATTAAGTGTTCTAGCGCACAATTTGATGGGGCTAGAGTTCAAACAGAGATCAAGTTACCAAATGCTGGGCCCACGCACAGTGGTTAATGTGCTATGAATATATTTAACTTATATATGTGATTATAAGTACAATAATTACAGAGTCGAATGTCAAAAGGTATATCAATAGAATATATGCTTAACTGTAAGCAATGAGTTTAAGCCTAGTTGTGTGTATAAAGCTTATTTTGAGGTTAAAAAATGTTAAATCTTTGTTACTCTGCATTCATACGGACTGATAGATTTACGGGACTACATCAACTTAGTTCATTCCAATCGAGAATATATATAATAGGATTATACTGTCTGCCGTGCTAGCTAAGCTAAATTCAATATTCACTAAGAAAACCAAGGTAAATGATTTACCTTTTTAAGAAATTATAACTAAAATTGTATTTATATATAATGAATAATCTTACAAATTTAGAAAGTGATTCAATATTCCCATGCACCAAAAAGAAAAGGAAGGAAAAATATGTCTTAGAGTTACTAAAATTTGTATTTATAAAAGACAAAAATAGCGATATATAAAAAAAAAAATAAATATTAAAAAAAATTAAAAACTTTTGCGCTCAAATTCAATCAAAATGTGTCATTAAACATTTGCACCACTGTGCATCAGCTCAAACGGCCCTCGTATAACAGTTGGCACTGCTTGCTGGCCAACTTGTAGGATAAGTCTGTTAGGACTCCATGGCAGAGCGCTCAGCCTCGCGCCGGCATCATTTACCAACGCGAAGCCGTTGCGAACGGTCGTCGCAGCTGCAAGAGTTTTCCAATCAGATTGTTTAATATTCAACTTAATTTGTTTTGATTGTTTTTTTTTTTTTTATTGTTTTTTTTTTGGCGCGAACTAAAGTGTAAGCGAATCGAGTGATTCATTCAGCAACACAAATATATATACTATATTTATATATATTTAATGATAGAGCGCATTCGGCGAAAGTAAACAACAATCCGTCTCTAGCACAGATGGCCCTGCTGCGTGCAGGTAAGTGTTCGCTGTAGATCCACGTATTTAGTTAGTGAGGAAGTGTTACTGCCGCTATAAATAGTTCGCACGCCCGAAATCCTATTAAATAAATATGATGCTATTGATTGCCGACAAAAGTAAAATATAAACGAACAAATTCCCTCTGACTGTGGATTGCATGGCATGCTCAAGTGCAATATCCACCTCAAAAGGGGAGGAGCAAAGAAAAGAAAAAAAAGAAAACGTTTGAAATTTCATGCCAATGCATGTATGATTTATTCACGGCGACGTTCCCGTTCATAAATTCGCGCCACTTCGTGCGGACAAATATAAAGTGGACGAGAAATGAAGTGAGGCGAAATCAAAAAATAATATTTCCTCTCATTCTCATGCCACCATCCCCGTCCACACCCCCGCCGCTATTTGTATAGCTCTTCAAAAAAAAAAAAAAAAATAGTCGCTGGCAAATCTATCGAACGTTACGTATACGTCGCGTGGGCCCCCTAGCCGAAAGGCAAACATGTTTATTTAGTGCGAGACTTGCTGCGGCAAGCTGATTCGATTAGCTGCCTAACCGCTGCATAAATGCCAAACCAAACACAAAACAGCCAAAAGCCCGACCGCCACTCAACCGCTGAACCACAGGGCCACAGAACCACCCAACCATCGGTCGCGCCCATTACGTCGCCCGTGGCAGAGGAAAACATCTCGTGGCGGTCACGTGGAGGCAAATTGAATGGCCGCCAGCGACGTTTGCTAATTGTATAACTTTCATTTTGTATTTAGTGGCAGAGAGTGGCACCGAGTGGCTCCTTCTTAACCGCCTGCCTTCACCTGTGCACATCCTCGTCACTGCAGCTGGATTCCATTTGCCTTTGTTCAGCGTCTTTGGCCATTTCTTTTCATTCATTGAGCGCTTTGTGTGACACTTTTCCTTGTTCCTTCTGTTTGTTGCATTGTGCCGGAAAGGGAAACAGAACGGAAAAAAGAACAAATGATAAAAAAATAATAATAATAGATAGAACAAAAATCATTCTCGGCGCCTTTTTTCATTGGCCGTGATAAATGCCTCATTTTCCGCGTTGGGTCTCAATGTGGGTTAACCCCAATGACAGCATTCCTTAACACGTTCACGCATCTAGTATAGAATGCCTTTCGAAATTTATAGTGAAATAATATATGGCTTAGGATGGCCTACGCGAGGCAGCCTTTTCGTCCCGTTGAAGAAAGTTTTCATGCTGTGAGGCTGAGATGAATTGAACAGCAACTTTTATTATCAACATTTGCCATGGTCATGATTATTGACAACCTAACCTAACCTAAGTATTAGCATTAGCGTAAGTATTTAGCATTGACACTAACATTAAGATTAACATTAGTGTTGCCATCAATATTATCATCATTTATATTAGCATTAGCATTGGCATATACATTGGCTCCTTCATTATAACCAGTATATGCAATAAAATAATTAATACGATAATTATAATTAACATTAACATTAACATTAGAATTTGCATCAAAATTAGATTGTTTATTAAATTGTAATTATATTTAGCATTTCTATTAGTATTATTTCATTCATTGTTATTAGAATTACAATGAGCTTTAACATTAGCATTAGCATTAACATTGCCTTTAGTATTATTTCTTTTATTATGATTATTATTACAATCAGCATTAGCATTAGCATTGGCATTAGCATTAGCATTAGCATTAGCATTAGCATTAGCATTAGCATTAGCATTAGCATTAACATTAGCATTAGCATTAGTATTTGCATTAGCATTAGCATTAGCATTAGCATTAGCATTAGCATTAGCATTAGCATTAGCATCAGTATTAGCATTAGCATTACCATTGCCTTTAGTAATATTTCATTCATTATCATTACTATTACAATCAGCATTACCGTTAGCATTAGTATTTGAACTACTTAACTAATTAGTATTAGCATTATTATTATCATTATTACTATTATTGTATTTGTTTCATCATTATCATTATCATTTAATCATTGTATTTGTTAATATCATTATCGTAATACATCCGCAATCATAAATGATGCAGTATAGCATAGTCGGATACGTTCAGCTATCTACTATAGGATGTTCCATTGGCTACAACTCGAAACGAACTGTTTTCTTAGTTCCCCCATTCTATTTGCTTTTATGAACTTGCCACGCGTCATAATGGAGGCAGCGCCGCTTTGGCAATGCTCATTAGAATGCCATGTGTACAATCTACCCACACCCGATGCTCACGCACACGCGCTGGAATAAATAGCCCCGCTGAACAGTGCAAACATTTGCATATATGACGAAAAATAACAAATGAAAAGTGGCAGAAAAAAAAAACCAACAAACAAACAAAGAAAACAAAACAGAGTTCTATGTGTTGGTCAAGACAGATATTGTGGCTTTGGAAGGATTGAAAGGGCCAAGCGTAAACGACCATAAACACTAAGTGCTTCTGCATAGAACGTGAGGGGCTCAAAGTTCAGCTCGAAGTTTAGAACAAGAATTTAAAGGTCATGTAAACATAACTCAAATTAGATTAAGCTTGAGTGGGGCTAGCTTCATTCTCTTAACACTTCCCAGCCAAAAGGAATAAAAGTATCTCAAAGGCCAGGCTTTGCCTGGACAGATATCTAATTCGCATAGGCAGTTTGCTTGTTGCACTGCTGGGCGCTTAGGCCCTAGGCCCTAGGCCCTAGGCCGCCGCAAAACGCGTCAGTAATGAGGCAACAGGCACCGTTTGCCACGGCCGCGCTGGCCTTTGGCTATGGACACTCGAAGGAGCCGGCAGAGCCGGCTACAAGAGCTGCAAGAGCCCTGTCCGACCTGTGTCCTATGTCAATTTCGGTTCAAGTGCGGCCGCACCTCCAGCCCCATCCATCCAAAGTGTTGCTCATTTCATTGGCCGAGCCGTGGCCGGCCTTTAATAGCATAATTTGGGGGCGTGTGGGGGCGTGTGGGCGCCCCTGTGGGCGGGAGGGCTTATGAATTTAGCAGCGACTCATCGCATTGCGTTGCCTGCAACTACGACTCACGGCTTTTTATTGTTGCCGACTTTTGGGCGCTTATTAAATTTTTATACGTGCACAAACAAAAAACGTTACCAGAGATGGACACGGGATTGAATTTCATGTGCCACAGACGCCGTCGCCGTTGCCGTTGCCGTCGCCGTTGCCGTCGCCCTCTCCTCTCGTCCTCTCAGTCGCAGTCGACGCCGACTTCACCTCAATTTTCCATTACACACACATACAAAGAGAGATAGCCCCACATTAAGTATACAAATTTGGTAATTGTGCCCTTCATGTATATTTAATTTGTGTTTTCATTTTTTTTTTTTCTTTCTTTCGTCTTTCTTCTTTGCGGACTCGCAACTCCCAATTATGTTACTTGTCCCTCAGCTGCTGCCAACACGCCGCATTTGCCTGTGCTCCATTTTTGTAGCTTATTCAATTTGAATTCTGAATATACTATTTCGGGAAGTTTCAAGTGAAACTCCAGGGCTTTAGTTGCAGCTCTTATTACAATTACCTTATGCTTGCCATTTAACTTTGATTGTGTATAACTCCACTTCTTTCACATCGATAGCTGTCGAGTGCCAGAGTAACCTGACTGAGTCTTGCAAAGACTTTGATTTGTCTTAAAGACAATTGATTAATTCTTTTCTCTTTGTCTCTAGATCGCTCTCTATCTCCCTCTGTCTCTCTCTCTCTCTCTCTTTGTCTCTATCACTTCATCTCTTTCCTTTTACCCCTATGTCGGTCTACCTTTCCCTCTCTCTCTCTCTCTCTCTCTCTCTCTCTTTATCTCTCTCTCTCTCCTTTTGCATCTATGTCTCTCTAACTTTCTCTCTCCCTCTCTCTCCAATTGTCTCAGTATCACTAGATATGTTAATATATAGTGATACTAGATTTCCTAATCTACATTTATGTCTATCGCTCTCCCTCTCCCGTTTTTTATCTTTCGAATTTCTCTGGTCTCCCGGATTTACTTTCTAGCTCTGCCTATCTCTCACTCACATTATATATTGCTCTCACTGTCTCTACCCCTTTAACGATCAACCTGTCTTCTTCTCTGAATGTCTCATCTCTCTCTCTCTCGCACACACTCTCTCTCTCTCATACTGTTTGCTCTCTCTGTCTTGTACTGTGTCTCTCTCTCTCTCCCTTTTTCCCCACTCTCGCTCGATCATCTCTCTCTCTCTCACACACTCTCTCCCTCTATCTATCTCGCTCTCCCGACCATTGTCCTTACCCCTGCATCGCCTAGTCCCTCGCGATAACATAGAAATAAGGAATCAATCGGATGCTAAGCTAATTTATAGCTGCCTTATGTTGAGGCAGTACAAAGCCGATTACGAATTCATGGCTTGCTTCCTGTGCGAATTTTAGCCCGTCAACAGAGAAAAGAGAAAGGAAGAAAGAAAGAAGGACATTGACACACAAAGAGAGAGAGAGAGAGAGAGAGAGAGAGTTCTCTAAAAGTCTAGCCTCATAATGCAATGCCCCAAAGTGCGGCAGTCAGGTGTTGTAAATTGTGCTACATTTTGTGCCACTTTAATCGATTCATTTGATTTCCGACTACACGTACACACAGCCACACACACGTACACACACATCGCCACACACTCACACAGAGACCGAGTGCAGCGCATATGGAGTCAAGAGCAAACCACTTGCGGCCAAGTTCAAGTAATCAAAGCCAATATAAAATAACAAAAACATTTTGATCCCCATCCGCTTTGATTTGGATTAATTGTAAACAGCAACGGGGGGCAAATGCGTAATGTTATAAGCCAATTTCACGGCCATAAATATCAATGCAAAAGTGAAAGCAATGAAATCAAAGTCAAAATTAAAATCAAATTCTTTTAGCCCGACAGCCACCACCCGGACTCTGATTTATGCTCGATGAAATTTAAATAAAGATTTTTTTTTTTTTTTTTTTTTTTTTTTTGTTTGCCCAGCTAAGCAAATTTATTAAAAAATAATCCAAGCAGCAGCA